CTATTTGATTGTTTCCAGGAGTTCTCAAATGCATCTGGCTTAGTGGAAAATATTGAAAAAAGCTCTGTATATTTTGGTGGAGTCAATCCAAACTGTGCAGCAACTGATACTGGATTGCTGACGATTTGCTGTTATTTAGTAAGGGTGATATAGAATCGGTGAATTAACTATTTGATTGTTTCCAGGAGTTCTCAAATGCATCTGGCTTAGTGGAAAATATTATATAATTAACTAAAGGCGAGCTTCCTAAAGGCGAGTGGATCATTTGGGGTTTTGCTAAAGGCGAGCTTCCTATAAGATATCTAGGAGTGTCACTCAGTGCAAAGAGACTATCAATTATAGAGTACAAGCATTTGTTGGAAAAAATGATTGGGAGGATAACTTGTTGGAATGCAAGATTTCTATCATATGCCGGAAGGATTCAACTGATAAAAGATGTACTCTTTTTTATACAGACATTTTGGTCTCAAATCTTCACTTTACCAAAAAAGATTACTCAGCTGACTGAAAGTGCTTGTAAAATGTTCCTACGGACTAGCGGAGTAGAGGTTTTCAAATGATTGCTCAAGAAATATATTGCAAGGGTCATATGAAGAAGAAAATAGCAGGGAGTATGAAGCATTTGGAAACCTATCCTATTAGTTGATGTTTTAATACTAATTCTGTTTGTTTTTGCATAAGGAATGATTTCCGGTAATGAGTAGCTGAGAAGTGCACAAGAGTGTTAGGACAGAATATCCAAACTCTTGTTGATTTGTGTTGTACTTATTTCTTACTCGGTGAATAAAATTATTTGTTTACCAATTTTTTTTAATTAAAATGTGAATTTTTACACCATTTCAAGAAAAAAGATTAGGTCTTTACTTTTTTTTCTTTTTTCGAGTTGTCTCTTCCATGGTAAGATATAATTTTTCAGGTCCGTAGTGTGAGAAATCAACATTATCGAAGGCGATTTGAAAGGATTTAAAGTTGTATTTGAGAGCTAGAGCAAATGAGGTAGTACTTGAGAAAGAAGAGAGAAAGAGAGGGCGGTGACAGATGTAAGAGTATGAAAGAGAGAAGGTTTTGAAAACTCTAAGGGCTGATAAGGGTGCAAATGAGCTGAATTAAGACGGGCAAAGCAACAAGCAATAATCTATCATGCTCAACCTAACTCAATTCTTTGCATTATTCTCAACTTTTAATAAAATCAATACCAAATATTGTTGAAAAAATCAAAAATATATTTGGGCTCACTTAATTAGGAAAATATGAATCTTTTTAAATAAAATAAAAAATAGTTAGATTAAAGAAGGACAAAAATACTAACATTTACTCGTTTTCTCATTTACATATAAATAGCACTTTAATCTTTGAATTATTGCTATATTTCGCTTTCAGTCTCATCATATTTAGCCTTCAATTAATTCATGTTTGTGTGTGTGTGTTTTTTTTTTGAAAAGGTAACAAAAATTCATGTGTGTGCTTTTCATCCTTTTAAGTAACGAAGTAACAAAAGCTAGCAGAACATTCCCTGTGTTAAAGGATAATCTTGGTATTTAAATTCTTAGTTTGCTTGTACTTAGCCAATTACTTTATGAATGTGGATTAAGCATGTGGCAATACAATAACACAATACTTTCCTAATTGTATCTATAATCCTCCTCCTTTCTTTCATTCGAAGAATACAAGCTCACGTGAACCAAATTGGATCAAACCCACCTGATATTTGAGCAAATCTTCAGTAATGGTTTTATATGTGTCGCTTCAATATTTGGTTTGTTTATTGCTTGAGCAAAATGTTCATCACAGATATCATGAATTTTCTCAGCAACAACTTCTAACTCCGTCAATTTGTCTCAAAATCTCTCTAAGGTAGAAACTCTCATTATTATCGTTGTTTGAAATTGGGTCATAGGATTGAAATCTTCAACAAAATGAGCTTTGAATTTCCATGGTGGTAAGCCCCAATGAAACCCAATTTAAAATCTTGTCTTTCCTATTCTGATTCTTGCAAGTCTCATGACTAAAGAAATTTTATTTTCCGCAAATATTATGCAGAAACGAGGTACATGATTACAAAAGGGGTGATTTTTCTTGCATTCCTGATCTCTGTTACTTAAAAGATTAAATATACACATAATTTAATTGAAGCTCAATTATGGATCTGGGTAACACAAGGACTAAAGTAAAATTTAGCAAAATCTTAGGGACTAAAAGTGACTTTTTATCAAAAGAATCTAAACTAAATATTTTATTTTTTTCATCTTAAGTTGAATATTTTATTTATTTTTTAGTCCATGGCAACTTGAAGTTAATTCGAAGAAGTTATTTATAACGATCCGGGCGGTCGTTTCGAGTATTTTAACCTTGTTTCTCCTATTTAATGCTTTATACATGTACGTCTGTGATTATATGAATTGCGGGGTCGGTTGATTTGGTTTTGGGAAATTTTAGATTTAATTGGGACACTTAATCTCAAGATTGGATGCTTAAGTTGTAAGAGTGGACCATAGTTTGACTTTTGTGTAAATGACTCCGAATGGTACTTTGATGGTTCCAATACGTTCATAGGGTAATTTTGGACTTAAGCGTATGCCAAAATTTGAATTTGGAGGTTCCTAGGTCTATTTGGTTTTATTTGGCGAAAGTTGAAGGTTTGGAAGGTTTGGAAGGTTGATAAGTTTGACCGAGAGCTGACTTTGATGATATCGGGTTCAGATTGTGGTTCTGAGAGTTGGAATAGGCTCATTGTGTCATTTGGGACCGGAATGTAAAATTTGATATCATTCCAAGTTGTTTATGCATGTTCGGCATAAGTATTACAATTTGAAAATTTGGATTAGTTCCTAAGGCTTGAATTGATGTGCGGTCCGTGGTTTTGATATTGTTTGGTATAATTTGAGGTCTCGAGTAGGTTCGTGTTATATTCTGGGATTGGCTGGTATGGTTGGATTATGTCCTGGGGGCCATGCGTGTTTTATATTGATTTCGGGTCATTTTTTATTATGTTGCATTGCTGAAGTTTGCTGAGACTGGTGTATTCGCATCTGTGGAAGTCTGGTCGCATATGTGAAGCCACAGATGCGACCTTAGAGGCGCAGATGCCAGACGTGAACTGGAGGAGATGAGTCCGCAAATGCAGAGGTTTTTTTGCAAAAGCAAATGCGTTTCGGCGATGGGTGGTCCGCAGAAGCGAATGCGCATGTGCGAAGGTTAGACAACAGATGTGCTTGATCGGCTCTTTAAGTGAATACGCAGATGCAACATTTTCACTACAGAAGTGGAGCTGCAGATGCGTCAGATTGTCCGCGAATACGAAAATCATCAAGCATACTTTATTTTTCGAATGGTTTGGTTATTTTTCATTATTTGGAGTTGTGGAGCTCGGCTAGAGGTGATTTTTGGAGAGAATTTCACCACAATTAAAGGGTTAAGTAATCTTTACTTGATTGTGGTGTTAGATATTAGTTACCCATGGATTATTACACCTAGTTTATGTGATTAAGGGTGAAAGTTGAGAATTTTTTTAGTGTGATTTTGGAGAGAAAAAATTGATGATTTGAGGGTTGAATTTGAGGTTGAATTTGGGTGAAACGTATATATTTGAACTCGTATTAGAATGTGTATTCGGAATTTATGAGTTTTACCGAGTTTCGTGGTGCGAGCTTGGGATTGGCTTTTTCAGTTGATTTTGCATAATTGATTCAAGGTCATAGCTTTATTGTTTGAGCTTATTTCCTATGGATTTTATTGATGATATTGAGTTGTTTTGACTATATTCGAGTCTCTTGGAGGCTGAATCGCGTGGAAAAGATTTTTTGGAGTATTGATACCAGCGTTTTAAAGTAAGCAACATATCTACACTTGGTTTGAGGATAATTATCCCTGTGAACTCTGATGCTTGGGATATGTTAGGGGTGACACATGTGCTAGGTGACGGACGCGTGTGTGTGCGTGTGCGGATAGATTTAGACTACCATGAGACTTGTTTTGCTATCATGGTTCGTTATACCAGTGTTTTCTCAACTTGTATGATTATTTGAGCTATGATTCATGTTAGAAATTATGTATAGACTATGTGATTATTTTTTTGAGACATGATAGGGCAGGGTGCCCGAAAAATTCACTTCTGCCTTTTGCATCCCAGGCAGCGCGACGCGTTGGCCTGGGGCCATTTTCTTCTTTTCTCCTCTTTTTGCCTCAAATCGTGCCGTTTTTTTCTATATTGCTTCCGGGTGACTCCTACATATAAAATTACCACAAATTAGCAAAAATTATTACATTACACATACAATTTCACGAAATTCGAGTAAAATATGAGGAGATATATATACAAATACACATACATTAAGCCAAATATCAAATGCTAGGAATTAAAAAAATCTTGATAGAGAGTGATTCCCCCTTTAATGATCTTAGGTGATGTATATCCGAAATTCCGAATTAGCTGGGGGGGTCTTCATGCGAATAGCGACATCGAATAAAATAAATAAATTACTTCCTCTGTCCCAATTTATGTTGTACAATTCATATTTCGAAAGTCAAACTTCTTAATTTTGCTTGTGAATTACGACATAGAATCTTTAAATTTTTTAAAATAAATATTACACATTCCAAACCAACATAAAAGGTACTATAAGTAACAATAATTAACAACTCAAAATATTTAAATAATATATAAAAAGATCGTTATAAAAAAAACACTTGTTTGACTCTCGAAATTTGAATACTATCCAAAATTGAAACGAATGGAATATTATTTTATCTAACATATTTCTTTTCAAAAAAAATATGTTTTTCTATTTATATCTTGTATAATTCTAGACTTCTAGTATTTTCCTTATGCATATATTAGAAAATAAAAAAATATTTTGTCAAAAAAAAATAACGAGTTATATAAAATGGACAAGTTTGACACGAGAGATGGAAGAAGCAATGACAAGCTTCTGATAGTTGACATCGTGGCACATTCTAACAAACCAGCAAGATTCCCTGCGGGTCCACACAAAAGACCCGTTTCTCTTTCTCCCTCCCAACTTCTGGAGAAATCTAGAGAGAGAGAGAGAGCCCTCCTATAACTGATGAAAGCTCAAAGCTACTAGCTTCCATTACTCTCCTATAACTAAGCCCTCCTAATCTTCTAATCTTTTCCACTCTCAGCCACCAAAAATCCATATTTTATCCTTTTTTGCGTTTCTTTTAGGAAATTCTGAAATTTAGTGTTTATTGTTGAGAGATTTGATTCTTCTTTTGAAATTGAAAGAAAACATGGAGAATTACTATACATTGAAGATGGCAAGGAAGGATTTTGAGTATGTTTATGATGATTTCAACGATTTCTCCCTTTCCTCTCCCGCCACAAAAATCCGTCGCCTGGTAAAGTTTTATCCTGTTTTTTCTTCATTTATTTGATTTTTTTCGCCAATTAGTTTGTTTTTCTCGAAATAGGTAATATGTTGAATAACTGATGGGTTCAGCTCAAAATTAATTAATCGCTGTCCTGCTGGTTTTAGAATTTCAGAAGTAATGTAGTTAGTACTATTTTTGTCTCTATGTAGTCCTGTTGAAATGATGATGGGTTCTCTTTCACTTATGTAGTAGTATCTAGGATTTATATAGAAGAAACTTAAGTATGTATATCTATTCTGTTGCAAGCATTTAAAATTGGTGATGTTGTATCTGTAAGTATATTACTCCATCCGTTTAATTTATGTAATGTAGTTTGAGTCGCCATAGAATTTAAGGGGAAAAAATTGAAATTTGTTGTCCTAAAAGCTTAAAGGGAAAAAGGCCGGATTTACCCCTGTACTTTGCTAAATATTGTACATTTATTCTCCGTTATACTCTCCATCTAAATGTACCCGTACCGTTAACAAAGTAAATAAAAATACCCCCAACCCTAACGGTTGTCCACTGAGGCTGTAACAACTTATCATTAAGTGTAAATTGGGTAAAATAAAAAGTTTAAAATTAAATTATTTTCAAATATAAAAATGTATAATTCTTTCTGGAACAGACTAATAAAGAAATGATCGCGTCACGTAAATTGAAATGGAGGAAGTAGTTTTCTTTAAAGCTTACTGAAATTCATGATTGGTACAACTTAATTTGTACTCCATCACCACTTCTTTTGGGCATAAAATATGCTGCTTCGAGTAGCTATATGAAGTAGCGGAGCTAGGATGTCAAAATTTAAAGAAGTAAATACACGTATGAGTCGGTAAGAAAAAATAATCTTTACCTATCTAAAGGGTATAATTTTCTAGCGAAGGGGTGTCCCCTTGGAGCTATGTGGCTTTGCCACTGGCTATATGGTTGCTTGTTGTGTTTGTAACAGTGTAAGTGATTTTATTTGTATTTGCATTTTGCTTAGGATGTGGAGTTGCAACCGATAGTTGAAGAGGTTGAAGAAGAGCCGATGCCTATAGCTTTTGAGCAAGTAGCTACTAATCAAAGCTTTGGAATCAATGGCGGGGATCTAGGAAGAAATGGTCCAGTGATTGAAGAACTGCCTAGTGTGCCTGAGAATGAAGAGAGGGCAATTGTGCTTTTCAAACCCATGAATACACAGCTTGTTCAATCCCCTTCAGATTTTTCTATTAAAGTGAATCCCCAGTTCACTAATGGATTCAAGAGTAAGCGTTCGATAGCTGTTCTCTGAGTTTTGGATTTAATTTATTATTAGGTGATATTTGGTTGGCTATTTAGTTTCCCTTAGTACTTTGTTTGAGATCATGTGGTGCAAAATATCAAATTGGAGGTGTTTTTATTGTGTGTATTCAAAGAGCCGTTAGAAAGTCAAATCAAGCTCATTCTTAGCTTTCCTTCATTTCTTCCTTCATAGAGCTTTTGATGTTTTTAGGGTGTTATCCAGCTGGATGTTAGCATGAAATGGTAGTTTCATTAATTTGAGCTGAGCGAGTTAAGAAGCTTTTACGAGTAAAGTTTATTGCATGAACTATTTTGGGTAATGGGTGAATATGAGTAATTTATTGCTTCTATTTCATAGTTTGGGAGACAAATGTGGTGGTAATAACTATGAGAAATAACTACAAGCTAAGGGCTATCAGTTTTTGGCTTCTGTTATTGTAGTACTTGTTTCTTCCTTTAGTTACATGAAGAATGTGAAGTCCTTTATTCTTAAACCAGCAATATGAAGGATAGTTCTTTAAGTAAAGTCGGAAGAGGCAGAGGACTAGCTTGTCTATTCCTTAGTCTTAGTAGGTCGTATTTATGGTGTTCGTGATATTGGTCTGTGTGGAAAAAGGAAGTATGTTGCACATATAAGTTAACTTCACATCATTACTTTGCAGTAGCTAACATCTTTTTGGTTTACTAAGTTGTTCCTTTCATTGTTAATTTTGTTTGGTTCCTGCTGAAATTTGGTTTGGCATTAGAAATTTCAAAACAGTAACCAGCTTGTGTGTGCTGTACAGATCCAGTCTTATGGGGAAGCCAATCTTGTATTTTGAGACGTGCCGGTGATGAAAATGCAGATGAGAACTTATCTGGTTCTTCTAAAGGGTGTCTAGCAGTTGTTCCCTGGGTTCCATCTCAGCTTCCTTCAGCACAAGGAGACGAGTTTCTGCGCCAGGCTGACGTGTTGGAGATGATGGAAGCTGAAGATATGGATGGGGTGACAATGGATGTCGAAGACAACAGTGTCAGTGCTGGACAAAGGACTGCTATCGATGCTGGTTTAGTTGGCGTGAACGAAAGGCTGCATCAGTGGCAACAACAACATTGCATGATTCCACCGCCACCCCACAGCACATCTACTCCAATTGTTTGGTATCGATGATGGTAGCATTATGGGCTGTTTTTGTAACATTTAGATATCGTCAAACTCTTCTTAGATCCCTCGTCTAAATGGGTTTGCTTGGTGTAGATGCAGAAGTAAATAGTAGATCAGTTTAGATCCCTCGTCTAAATGGGTTTGCTAGGTGTAGATGCAGAAGTAAATAGTAGATCAGTTTAGATCCCTCGTCTAAATGGGTTTGCTAGGTGTAGATGCAGAAGTAAATAGTAGATCAGTTGTGATACAGGGTTGACACTTTTGGGATATCTTGCACAAGATGGAAATGACTGTGATTCTTTATTGCAGGGTTATTTGCTCGTCTTTCACTTTTATCTCCTCAAAAAAGGGGGAAAAAATACATTGTTTGTTATGTTAGAGCAACCCGTCAAACGTGCAAAATATAAAGTTCTTTTCGCTAATAAGTGAAGACATATATTATGCTAAAAGAGGCCATGATTTAATCTCATAATTATATAATGCGACTTTGTTCAATTTTGTATTAATGGTCGCCTACTGTCAGTCAGTTCTCAATTACACTCTAGTAGAAACAAGTTCTGAATATAAAAAGTGACAAGCAATCAAAGACCATGTACAGGAAAAAAGATCTCACATAAGGTATTATACTAATCTAATAAACATTGTGGTGTGCGTTCTAAATAAATTGTTATCCTTAGCCACACAGTTTGAGTAATGCATATTCTTACCTTGGTTAGCTATAATAAACGAATAAAATTTGATGTGAGTTCTGAGGCAAATTTAGAATTTAAAGTTTATAGATTTTTACAACAATCTCGAGTTATATATCCAAATAGATTTAATACAAAAATTTACTAATGTGTTCCTAGTCGAGATTATATATCCAAATAGATTTAATACAAAAATTTACTAATGTGTTCCTAGTTAAAGATTTATATATATTCAGTAAAAAAATTTAATACAAATAGAGGTTCACTGAAACCCATAACCTTAAAGCTGGATCCGCCCCTATCTGAGTTAAGCAAGAAAACTTCATATCGATCAAGGGCATATCTAGAGTATAGTGTATGGGTTCTCAGGAACTCAGTAACTTTTGCGTAAATTCTGTATTTTTATTAATTTTTTTACTAAATATCTATAAATATTTAATTGTGAACCCAGTTATTATGATATATTAATTTGAGATTGCGACAGGAACTCATAAACCTCAAATCCTGGATCCGCCTCTGATATCAAGGGAAAATATGAATAGCGGAAGCTCCTCTGTCTCTCCCAGCTCCAAAATTGTGATGCCATCTTTATCTGCGTCTCTTAATATCAAGGACGTATCACCAGTCTTTTTCTCTCGACTCATTTAGATATCATTATCAATCAACGACATGAACTCAAATTTCTATATATAGAATATTTTAGGAGGTAGGTAAGACTCCGCAAAATTTGGAACTCATAAGAGCTACTATAAAAATTCTAATAGTTAAATTGGTAAGTAACAAACTTATTAAAAATTAGATTAACCTGCTTTTACCTTTAAGGAAATAAAACGTCATCCAGATTTAAGAGTCCTCTACATGTTGATAGAAAAATGCATATTACTTCATACTTTTTCCTTCTCTTTTTTTAGCACACCCCTTTAGATCAATGAACCCCGTAAAAATATAAAATCTCGTTTGTTATTTTAAGTTACCATCTTATTTCATTGAATTGTAGCTACTATCTAAATATGAGAGCAATAAGAAACTATATTCTTCAATTTAAATTAAAACACTTGACAAAGTGGTTCCATATTGCTGACACAAGATGATGGGAAAATCTTAATTAGGATATGAAACTTTATCCATTAATATGAAGTCATGTAGCCAGCTATTCTCGAACATAAATTTGTCCACATGAAGTCATATACTTGAATCCAATTTTGTCGTAATTAGTAACATTACTCACTATAAATACCACTATATATGCAGTGATCCTATTTCACTTCCATCCATAAGCAACTACTCAACATATATCCCAAAGAAGAAAAACCAAGAAAGAAAGAAAGAAACATAAAAAGAAGAAAAAACAAGGAAGTTTAATGTGCTTATTCTCATGATTTTGGCCTTGTTGCTAACCACAACGAGTGCACAACAATGTGGAAGTCAAGCTAGAGGGCGTCTGTGTGCCTATGGACTGTGCTGCAGTCAGTATGGGTTCTGCGGCACGACTCGTGCTTACTGTGGATTTGGTTGCCAGAGCCAATGCCGCCACTACGCCACCAGCACAACTGGTACTGAGGGTGAAAACAATAAGGATGAACACAAGAATAATGGTGGTTCCAACTAATGAACTTACAATACTTATATGATGAAAAGAATAAGGTATAATATGTGGTGTTTGTGTGTTTAAAATAAGGTGTAATTTTAGAATAAAGTTAGTGTCATGTCTTGAACACTATATATGTAATGGTTGTCCTCCTTGTTTTTCTATGTGATATCTACTATTGTTGCTTAAACACCACTTAAAAATGTCCAACAACTAGAGCTGTTCTTATTTTTTTTTTTTATGTCGATGAGGAATTTCGCTATCTTATTAAAGCCAATATAAATATATCCATCATTCGACTGGGCTTTAATACCAGCGGCGCTTCACTATCATCTTGTCAGCAACTTCTGCACTCTATGTATTTTCATTCTCCTTTCTGATGATTGCATGCATATAGTTTCAACAGAAAAGGAATAATTAAGTGATGTTTGGTTAAATGGGGTATATGGTTCTTGCAATAATTATCGTGCTTGTCTTGTTGGGTGATTATTTGTCGTCACACTTAATATTGTACAGAAAAATAGTCTGCTGAAAGAAACCTGCATGACTATAATATGGACACAAAATTAGAGTACATCAAAAAAAATATGCCACGTATTTTAATCTAAAGCTTACGTTACGTGATCTGGTATTACATCTGTGAACTATGCTTTAGCTAACAAAAGGACATAACTTTAAGGGCGGAAAATAACAGAGAACTCCTTTAACTATTTCTAAAATATTACTACTCTATTTCGATTTCAATATATTTCATCATGCAGAAATGGTTTTGATCGACCCCATTATATCGAAGATTTGCATAAGATACAAGGTTTTAGATATACTATATTTTGATCAAATGCTATTTTCTCAAGTTTAGTATTTCATGTTTAAAGAAAACTTTGAGTTTAACTTTTGTGGGAACCTTGACGAAATACTCGAAAGGCCCGATAATTAGGAAGTTGTAGCAAACTCGACATCACGACATGGTGTTGGAGGCGTGGAGAAGCCATATAGTAACGTAATAATAAAGCCATCTTGCCAGCTATATAGTCGAACGCAAACTTTGTCAAGATTAAATCACGTAGCTAGCAACTTTTGAATGTGAATATGACTCGAACATGGCATTCTATAAATCCCTTATTTTGTGGTTTGAATCATTTTCTTGTATTTTTAGGAAACCCATAATCTCTATAGATTTGGAAAAAATCATTGTCCTGATAGATTTGGGAAAGGAAAAGATATTGTCCTTGTCAAATAGGAAAACCTTTCTCTTATAGGTTTTGGACTATTTGGGATCTATATATAAAGGTTGTAGCCGGGGATTCTATGGATTGTATTGTGTTTTCTTCTCATTTATAGTGGAAAACTCTCTTTGCTTCTGCCCCGAGGATTAGGCTTAGCTGAACCTCGTTAAATCCTTGTGTTAATTTTTCCTCTCTATTTGCTTTGTGTGTGATTGTGTGCTAGTTAATCTACGATCTTCCGCAACAATTGGTATCAGAGCAAAGTTCGGGCGGGGTTTCCACATATAATCTAGGATAAGATGTCTTCATCATCTTCAATAAAGTGCAAAGAGAAATTTGATGGGGATTCTGGTTTCCGTCTGTGTAAAGGATGAAATCTTCCCTGGTGTTACAAGGGTTATGGAAGGCAATTGATGAGGATTTTCCTGAAGAGATGAAAGAGATAGAGAAGGAAGACCTGAAGGAGAGGGCTTTGAGTGCGATCTTCATGAGCGTTACAGATAGCGTTCTTCGGAAAATTACTGAAGAAACTTCTGCAACAACGGCATGGAAGAAGCTGAAAGATTTGTATTCTAAGAAATTGCTGACAAATCACCTTCACTTGGAAAAGAGGTTATACAATCTCCGTATGAACAAAGGCACACCTGTTAAAACTTACCTTGATGAGTTTAATTCAATTATAATGGACCTGAAGAACACGGATATCAAAATTGAGAGCGAGGATCAGGTCTTGATTGTGTTATGTTCTTTACCACCGTCTTATGATACTTTTGCCGATACGCTGCTATGTAGGAAAGACAACATTTCACTGGAAGATGTTAGTAATACATTAAAATCTAAAGAGTTGAAAAAAAGCTTTCCAGATAGCAGAATTAAGGGTGAAGGTCTTGTGAGTAGAGGAAAAACACAACAAAAGGACTTTAATAGGAAAAAGTCAACCGCCATATCAAAGTCTAGCTAGAGCAAGAAAGCAGACCTGTTATAAGTACAGGGAGCAAGGTCACTACAAGAGAGATTGTTTTAAGCTGAAGGAGAAAAGAAGGAAGCAGAAAATAGATAATTCGACAAATATTGTTGACACTGGCAATAATTCTGATGATAGTGACTTTATAAGGGAAGTCTGTGTTGTGAGTTCTAGTCATGGGCAGAATTCTTGGGTTCTTGATTCTGGTGCTACTTTCACATGTGTCCACACAAGAATTGGTTTGCAACTTACAAGCAAACGAGTGAGACTGTCTAAACAGGAGATGATAATCCATTACCAGTAGAGGGGACTAGTAACATCAAATTGAGAATGTTCGATGGAATTAACAGAAACATTGAGTGTTGGCATGTTTTCTCTTTCGACTTTGGATGATCAGGGATATAAGTTTCACTCCGAAAATGGAATACTTAAAGTGTGTAAAGACTCCATGGAGTTGAAGGGAAGCTGATGTAGCTTCTAAGAAAAGTGCTCTGAATCAACCTCAGTTGTGGCACTTGCGACTTGGTCATATGAGTAATAAGGGGTTGTCTTTGTCGAGTAAGTAGAATATGCTAAGTTTTGAATTTTTGTGAGCATTGTGTGTTTGGTAAACAGACAAGGGTAAAGTTCAACAAGAGGGTCGAGCACAAGACCAGAGACAAGTTAGATTATATACATTCATACTTGCAGGGTCCAAACAGAGTTCCCTCCAAGAGTGGTGCCAGGTATTTTATGACTTTGATTGATGATTACTCAAGGATGGTGTGGGTGTATTTTCTAAAAACAAAAGATGAGGCATTTCCGACATTTGTTAAATGAAATACGATGGTTGAGAGGCAGTTGAAAAGAAAAGTTAA